AAAAAAAAAAAAAAAAACTGGCAGCTTAAAACTCATTCTGGGCACGTGTGCGTGCATGCCCAAAATCCTGAGAGGAGAAGGGATTACAACGTGGCCATCCCCCCGTTGTGGTGATTTCTCGCCTTCTGTATCTCTGTCTCTCTGGCAAGTGCATGCTCTCTATAGCAAAAATCTCTTTATAAAAACAACGAAACTCCGTGTCGAACTATCCATCTTCAATATCAATGTCTTTATCATTAATATAGCCAATTTTTTTAAGTTATAACAGATAAAAATAAAATAATTGTACTTCTTAAGACATTTTTATTTTAAAACATTTTCAAACAGAAAAATCCTAAGTACAAAACCCGAACCATTTGAAAATAAGTTACTGACCCTATTACTCCCAATTACTTCAGTGTATATTTCCTGTAAACAAGGATATTGTTCTATATAACCAACCACTAAAAGCCATCAAAATGGAAGAAAATTGCCATTAATACTTTATTACCATCTAATTCTTAGACCCGTTCATGTTTTGAATAGTGTCCTTTATAGCAAAAGGATGCACTTCAGACATACTGCCTTTAGCTACTATTATGCCTGTTATTAGTGTCCTTAATTTTGAAACAGCACCCCAGCCTTTGTTTTTTTCTTTAAATTTACTTATGAGAGAAGAGGGAGGTGGGCGGGACCCAGGGACCTCCACCCCAGTCTTTTCACACCAGGATCCTCGCCGCATCCTTGTAGCCCACCGGGATCATGGGTGTACTTGTAGGCCTTTCGTGTTCATTTTGACCCAGGAACAAACCCAGGACTTCTGTCTGGCTTCAGCATCATGCAAGCTGCCTTACCACCTGCACCCCCACAGCTAGGGCTCCTTGGCTTTCTTGAACTTGACACTTGAAGATTACAGACCAGTTTTTTTGTAGGATGCTTTTCCTTATGATTTCCATTCAGGTTTTGGATCTTTGGCAGGAACACCATAGAAGCGAGGCTGTGTCCTGCTCCCCTGGTTTCAATACGTCCCATCACTAATGACGCTGATGTTGATCACTTTTTAAAGGTGCTATTTGCCACTTTTCCACCATGAAGATTCCCTTTCACTTCATGTGTTAAGTCATCTCAGACATGTCCGGTGGATGCGTGTTTCAGCTGGCTCCTGTGTCCTTTGGACATGTCCCCCTCTACTTGGGCATTGCTCTATTTTCTGACAGTAAGACATTCCAGGTGTCTCTAGTGGAAAATGCTTTAAAAAGCTAAGAATTGAGCGCTAGACATGCTTCCTGTTATGGTGCTGCTTGTCCCAGGCCACTTCAGTGCTCAGAGCTTCAGAATTACTTGCATGTACATACATGTATACACCCACATACATGCATACGTTAACATCCAGTGTACTTCCTCTGTGTCTGTATTTTGGAAACCATGAATTCACACCAGGCCCTCTAATTCCAGTCTCATACCACAAGGTTTTTTTGAAATTTCTCCCTTTATGTGTTTGTAACTCCGTTCTCAGACAGTGTCTCCTATAACCCTGAGTATAAAAACCCATCATTAGGATAGACTTTACTACACCTGGACACACTTAAAATTGCTTACCAAAAACAAAAGAAAGTGGAAATCATTTTGGGGTAGTTCTCCTGCTAAATATTTAAAATAGGCATTTTTCTTTCTTTCTTTTTCCTTAGCATGATAGGTACAAGAGGGAGGAAGGAGGATGTCTTCAGAATGTTCATGGAAAGTGCATATTATGAGAAAACTATGCATGGATTTCATCTAATTTTATTCCCCCCCCCCCCTTTTTTTTTTTAAATTTGCTATAGGGCAGTGTATTCACTGGAGAGAAACAGAGAGAAAATGAGAAATCACCCCTCCTCCCCCCTCCAGGGGAGATGGCCATGCCACAGTTCCTTCTCCTCTATTCTCCTCTTGGGATTTTGGGCATTTATGCACATGCATCTGGCATGTTTTTCAAGCTGCCAGGCCTAGGACTCGAACTGTGGAGTCAGCCATGTGGGATGCAGGTGTCTTAACCACCATGCCAGTAACTGGCCCCCCCTCCATGAACTTTCTGAAGTCCCCTCATAAACGCATATGTAGATGGGTTCCTAAATTTCAGAAAATTTACAGGATAGATGTACACCAACAGAACTCACGCTGCAGAATACTGCACACGGCCATAGACGTGCCCTGTGGTAGTTGGTATATCTGTTCATGCTGCTCTTCCCATACAGCTCATATGATGAGAGAAGAAGGGACTTCATTTGCCTGCGTCAGAAATATTGAGGCAAAGGCACTATGGATGTTCTTCTGTTTCCATATTCTTTTCCCTGTACATTGTAGCTTGTGTTATGGCTTTCGTCATCACTGCTTACAAGATTCCCAAGCGCCAACTTCTCTGGCTCTCTGTTCAGGAGCCTGGATTTCAAGTCCTGGATGTAGCCCCAGGAATACGCATTTTATTAAGCATCCTCAGTGATATTCTTGCTGGCTTGGAGCCAAACCCAGACAACTGCTTCTTGCCTGCAGAGAACACAGAATTTCAAGTGCAAACAAGATACTGCTTTGAGTCTTTCAGCACCTGGAAGGAAGGTAAGCTGCAGCAGTTGGCCCTGGCTCCCCAGTGGACTGCAAAGAGTTGAATCTCTGGATGGTTTTGTTAAAAGCATGCTTTAACATCCAGGCTCTCTCTTACCCTCTCTCTCATACATACAACACACACACAATAAAAGAGTGGAGCTACTAGATTATGGATAGCAGCACATGAACTGGAATTACATGCATCTTGGTATTTCTTAAGGCTTATTTGGGCACCTGCCTATGTAGTGACTAGAAAACAGGAGAGCTTCTAGTCCTGGGAATTAATTAAAAGGTAGGGCAGGAAACTTATCCTGGAAATAAAACTTCAACGTTCTCTTTCCCCTTGGTAATAACAACTGGCTTAGCACTTTTCTTTTCGAGGTCGGGGGGGGGAGGGGGGGCGGCGGGCAGCTTTGAATCATGAATGCTCACAGCTGGCTGCACCATGTGCAATATTCAAAACACAAGAACAGGCTAATCACAGAGAACCAGCGGCAGCCAAACATCCCGCTTGCTGGCCTCCAACGGGCTTGTAATTGAGTGCAGATGGCCCCGGCAGGGTGGGAGCGTGTCCCTGCAGATTCCTCACACCCCAGAGGTCCAAGGGGGTTCAGGAAAGTTCTCAGCCCTGATCACACTCTCGTGGGGCCGGAGAGCCTGCTGCTGGGGGAAGAGAGGAAGGGTAGGTGGTGCCAGAGCCTGCCAGACCTGTCTTCCCAGCCCTCTCCAGGCCTTTTGAGATCTTCAGGCCTCCAGAGTATAGAGTTGATGAGTCTGGGGTCTCGAGATTGCAGAAGGCCTGGGGTGCAGAAACAGGAGTTGGAAGTTCCTCGTACTTGGAGACTTTGTTGTACCACCTGCAGGTGGCTGTGTGGGGCAGAAGCAAGAGTACTGCCATGGAAATGCAGAGACTGCTCATTTCAGTGTATCCTCCCAGGAGGACGGGGCCTCTGTGGCTAGCCTGCCCTCCTGCCTCTCCTTCCAGTGCTTTCTCAGTTTCTCTCTGAAAGGAGTATTGTAGTGATCTTTACCACCACATTTCAACTCCAGACTTCTCTTTACTTTCTCTTTTTTAACTTCATTGTTTTTCTTCATAAGAGGAGGCAGGGACCCCTGATGACAGGGACTTGTCACACTGTGATCCTTCCCCCACAAGATCAAAACAGTGCAACCATGTGTCTCTGGAAGCCCAGCTACATAGAATTCTAAATAAATTTGTCAGTCTTTAATGACAGCCAGTGAATGGGATGAGGATAGATACTAGGATGATCCAAAATTGATGTAATCCTTGGCAGATGAAACAGAGAGAACTCCCTCTTCTGTCCTCTGGGCCTAGTCGTTCCAGTTGCCTCTGGGTTATTTGCCCCGTGCAGAGAAATCTGAGCCTGCTCCGATGGGCAACTCAATCCTAGTGTTGCCTCACTGCCAGGAGAGACACCTCTGCATGGGTGTCCTGATGGCCCCTCAGAATCAGGAGAGGATGGCACACACCCAGGCACTCCCAGCCGAGCACCATGGTCTTCAGCCCTGGGTCTCAGCAGCTGGCTGGAACCAGGTAGAGCAGAGCGGTGGCCTTGGCTGGCACAGGAAGGGAGGCAGTCTCCGCTTGGCTGACTTTGGAAGCTGCTGAATTCCTGCCCATCTGTTCTCCCAGCTGAGCCACAGCCAAAGC